GCGCGGCGGGCGGGGCGCGGCGCCCTTCCCGTGGTGCCGCGGGAGCGGCGGCGGAGCGGCCGCGACTTCATCCGGGTCCCGCGGGCCCCGGCGGCGGGGCCGCAGCGCTGCGGGGACGGTCGCGGGGCCCGGGGACAGCGGCGGGGCCGGGGCGCGCTGGGGGGAGCGCAGAGGGCGGGGGGGGACCGCGCCCGGGAGCCCGCACGGGCGGGCGTGGGGCCTCGGCCCGGCCCCTCCGCCACAGCCTCCGCCGCAGGCCCGGTTCATTGTCCTTGTTCCCCTCACCGGCGCCTGCCCCCCGTTCTCCCCCCGCTCCCCACCAGGCTCGCGGGAAGGTCCGGAAGTGCCGCCCCCGGGAGCCGCCAGCGCCAGGTACGTCACTGCCGGGCCGGCGGGACCTTGGCCGGGGGAGCCCCCCTGGTACCGGGCGGGGGGCCCGGCCCGGCCCTGCCCGGGCGCAGAGCGGGGTGAGCCCGGGCCGGGCGGGCAGCAGGTGAGGAGCATCCCCGAGGGGAGCACTGCGGGGCCTGGGGCCGCGGAGCGGGGCTGGAAGGGACGTCCCGGGTACCATTCCCTGTCCCGGGGGCCGCGCGGTCCCACCGCGCTCCCGCGCTGTTCCCGGTCCTGGCGGTGGGTCGGGAGCCGGGACTGGGACACTGCGGCCCTGCCGGGCTGTGCCCGCGGGGACACGGGCTGGGCTGGGCTGGGCTGGGCTGGGCTGGCGGCTCCCCGGGGAGCCGAGGGCAGCAACCCCGTTAATGGGTGTGCTCAGGGCTGTCTGTGGCCGTGCAGCTTCTACCCAAAGCTCTCTTTGGCCTCTCAGCGTGGCTCTTCCCCTTGCCATGGGCAGCTTCACCCGCTGGCACCCCAGGGCTGGGGCTGGCACAGCCCTGGCACGCAGGGATGTGCTCGTGGTGACTTTAGTCTGGCACAGCCCAACCGGTCTTAGATGGAAGCCCTGGAACAGCTGCCTATGAAGGGCATGGAGGCATCTCCAGACTCCTCTGAAGTCATTCCAAACCCACCTTGACCCCTTTCTGTGGCACCTGCTCCAGGTGCCCCTGCCTTGGCAGCAGGTTGGACTGGATGGTCTCCAGAGGGCCCTTCCAACCCTGATAATTCTGTGACTTGTTTCTTGTAGGACTGAAAACTCAACCTGATGATCAAGGTTGTGATAATCCTCATTTACAGATCTGCCTTTCCCACCTTGCCAGTGCTCTCTTTATCTGTACTACTCTGCACTTCAGTGTTGTGACTCAAGTGCAAGTCTTAACTGGCAGGGAAAAATTGCTGCCATTAAAAATGCACACAGGAACCCTGTGGGATGATTCTCAGTGGTAACAGTGGGGCAAACTTAATCCATGGCAGAATTTTTGAGAAAATCAATGTGTCCCTTCAAAAGCAATAACTTAAATAATATTTAAGAAACAGGGCATCTTCTTCCTTTTCTTCGAGCATCCCCAGCTGCCAGGTGCCTCACCAAAACATATATTTGCTGGTGTGGCTTCTCTTGTCAAATTTGACCTGTTCTGTTCACAGCAACACCCAGGTGTTTAATAGTTTAAACTTAACCAAGGAGTTATTTGCAGTGGTAGTTCGAACTTGCTGCAGTCAACATGCAATAATAGGTTAATTAGGAGAGGTTTTTTCCCTATAATAGTTAGCTTTGTGAAGAGGGACTTACTAAACAGCTGTATTGTGATACTTTTATACATTTATTTTATAAAGTTGCTGGTTGTAATTTTTTTCACTGAGTTCTTCTCCCAGGTTGTGCTCTGCATATCTTAAATGCCACCTCATTTCACATAGGTCATGCTGGGAAGTTATTTTACGCACTAAGACTGGAGACTTGGCCAAAGGAAGCTTAGATAAAACATCAGATCACTTGCTGTGTTTTTCTCCTCCAGTGACCTGTATCCTTGTTTCACTTTCCTTTTGATAAATGTCTTCTGTATTTCCCTCTGTTAGTAGTAGTGGAAAACATCATTTCATTTGCAAAATAGTGAAAGGCTCCCAGGACTTATAAAGGGCAATAGATGTTTAATTATGTTGCCAATTAATAACATAACACAGCGGTCTTGAAATATTTTTGTGTGCTAACTTCATTGTTTGCTGAGTTTGGGTAATTGCTATAATAACATGTAAACTTTATGCAGAAAAAGCCTACTTAGCATGTCCTAAGAGACACAAATCTCGGGAATAAATACACGTTTGTGTATTATATATAAATACACATTTCTCTATCTGGAGCAGGACCAGATAACCAAAGTGATGGTTTCCTTTGAGAAGGGCACTGAGGCCTTTGTAATGTTTGAAGCTGAAGTGTACCTAAATTTATTTCTTTATTTACAAATAGCTCTGTTTATTCTGTCCCTGAACCAACAGAGGTGTACTCAAAAAAAGGGTTTGTGAAAATCCGACCATTTTAGTGTAGTAAAATCAAAGGTGTGTAGGGAAAGATGCCAAGATTTGTGTTACTTTGGTTCTCTGTTCATATTAGAAATCATTAATTGTGCTCACATACTTTACTTTTATGCAGGAGATGGGCAGTAGTGACTTCTCATTTCTTTCAGGCCATGGTTTCTGGATATTTATATTCCACCTGTAACTACATGGTTGGAAAAATAAGTGAAAATCAAACATACTAATTAAAAATGGGGCAAACCAGTAATATTTCATGTGATAATTACTTAAAGCCAGAATGCTCTGTGTTAAAGCAATTAAATGTAAGTGGGACATGGAAATACAATTTTTTTTTTTCTAAAATCTAATTGAGACACTGCATAAATACATTATTGGTGGCAATCAGTGCTATTAATCTTGCTGTTGTGTGAAAAAATTCCCAAAACCACCATTGTGGACACATGTCCCTGTCTGGGTGTGTGGACTTTAGTGCTGCCCAAGAGCTGTGTGCGCTGAAACTGCTTGTCCTCCTTTTCCCCTCTGCACAATTTCCCAGTTCAAACCAGTATTCTGGGGTGATTTACAGTGTATTGCTCTTCAGTGGACTGGCAGGTCCAAAAAGAGCTATTAAATTTTTAATTTTTGGGGCATAAGCAGGGGTGCCTGGACATGGGCTGGGAGTTCTTCTTTCTTGGCCTGTTTTCAGTGCAGGTGAATTTGCTCAGCACAAAGTAAAAAAAAAACAAACAAAAACAAACCAACTAATAAACCCCAAACCCTCTAATTTGTTTTGTTTCCCACAGGTTTTTAACTTAAAACTTTGACTTTTCTGCTCAGTTTTTATCTGCTGAATTTCTGAAGCTCAATTTAAACTTTACTAGAGTAAAATAGTCTTTTCATGTAACAAACTGCTCACAAATTTACAATTACCAAGTGATGGTTTCCCAGGAGGATGTATCTCTGTCTCCACACTGCATCTTGTAGGTGTCACTGGAGTCCAGTTTGTGTAGGAACTCTTCCTTCTACAAATTCACTTTCAGCTTTAGGTGGTTTTTCTTCTGTGCTGCAAAGTGGACAAAATAACTGGGAGAATAAAGCATTTGTCTTGCAGGATCACACTGAGGGGAGATGATCACACTGAGAGGAGACATGACTTCTGTTCTTTGTGCAAATACACCTTTTGTTCCCTCAGCAGAATAATGAATAAAATAATAATTCATTTGAGTTATTTTTTTCTCTTTCACAGGTTGGACAATAGCTTAGGAGTGCTGATGTTCCACTGTGTGCTATTAAAACAAAACCATGCAAATTCTTGAGACTTTTTTTTTCTTCTTGTGCAGTTTAGGATCATTTAGGAGGTTTTAAACTTCCAGGTAGCTCAAGAAAACCAGGACAGACTTACTTCAGAGCCCGTTCAGAGTCTGCTGCTTCAGTTCTGGACACACATTGGGAGCAAGGCTCTGGAAAGATAAGCACATTATTAAGGCAAAGGAAGGTACAACCCAAAACTGAATATAGAAGAGGAAGAATTTTCGGTTCATGCTAAAACTGTAGTGTCAGTCACTGTCTGATTTCTCTGAGCCTGTTTAGGGAAGAGGTGATGAGATGTGTCTGTACCACGTGGTAACACTGCAAGGGTAGCTGAGTGGAGTAAGGGAAGCAATATCAGGGATTATTAAGTTTATATCAGTCATGTGACTCCCTCTCTGCCTGCAGTCCACACCTGTCAAACACAAAACCCAAGGAATGAGCAAATTTGAGTTATGAGTCTGCATGAAGTCATTTGGATGCTTGACACGGCTGGAGAAGGTGGCAGGAAGTTCCTGGGATTCAGGAAGTGTGGCTTCAGTGCAGGGAGTGCTCTGAAATCCAGAGGTAAAACTGTGAGGACTCGGTGTCCGTGCTGTTCCCATAAATCCTGGAGCTCCATCATGTGGTGGGAGCTGTGCAGGCTCAGCCCTGGGGGGGTGTTTGGCAGCTGGGGCTGTGTGAGACTGTGCAGCTTCACAATTCCAGAGCCATTTTATCCCCTTTCATTGCATTGGGATTTTAAACACGTGGTGACAGGAAAAACAGCACTAAGGAACTCAGCTTTTAACGAGGAAGGCAAATTAGCCAGGTATTTTTTTTAGAAGCTTACCTCTCATCATAGCTGAGTGATTTTGCTGGAGGAGTGACCCTGAACTGCTGTGCTGCACTGGCTGTGACAGCAGCTGCACAGGGAGCTTTGCAACACCAGGATGAGAACATCCCACAGCAGGAGAGGCTGTGCCAGCAGGAGCATTTATCAGGATCCCCTGCTTCTGCCTGTGCCAGAAACCCTTGGTGCTTGCACACAGCAGGCCCCCAAGGAGACCTGGCAGGTCTCATCTGTAAAAGGATGTGGCAACTTAGGTGGTGCAGCTTGGAAAGAGTATTACAAATAATCCACAAGTTAAAAACTCCCAAAGCTGCAGGGTTAATATAAAGCAGAATGCTAATTAGCTGGACTTTGCAGGAATGCACAGTAAAGAGAAGTAAAAGCAGAAGGTAACCTGAACTCCTTCCAAAAATAAGATTTTTGACTAGAATTTGAATTCCTTTAATTATACACCCCTCATATTATTACTCAGCTTCCAATTGCTGTCATGTTAGTCTGCCCTGGGCTTGTGCCCTGCATGCACTTTATGATACCAAGGCAGACTAACAGGATAGCAACTGGAAGTTAAGTAATAATTTTTCAAGAACATTTTTAGCCTTAAGTAACAGCCCATTCAGACCTTTATTAGATGAAAGACTCTTGTTTCAGAAAGGTGGAAGGAGGCAGATTTCTGTGGAATGAGGTGCTGCAGGTACTGAACAGGAAAATCTAGTGGTGGCAGTAGAAAATGATTTAGAATTTCCAAGAATAAAATTTGATAGGGAAGTCCTGCTGTCGGTGGAAATAAAAGCTGTTTGATACATCTCAGGTTGGTTAGATCTGCAATTAAATTTTGTCTAAAGGTGATGAAATGCAACAGATCAATTTTAGGTTTATTACAATCCATGTGTCCTTCAGGCTTCATTTTAAAAAGAAATCCTGAAGCAGTGCCTTACATACTTTGTGAAATTAAAACAGGTGTGGCAACACCTATGGCATTTTTCAAAATGCTTCAAACATTGTCAGTAAATCACAGAACCACGAGCTTCACCTTAAAGTTCCTTCTGAAACTACACGTGGAACTTCACCTCGTGGAATCACCGAGTGACAAACTGAAGATGCTGAGTTGGTGCTCTGCAGCTCAGCTCCCTGGCCAGGCCTCAAGGGAGGGACTGGGGCTTTCCAGGGATTTTGCTGGATGCAGGAACAGGGAAGTGAAAGCACCTTCCCTGCTGATTCAGAAGGATGTGATGGGGGCCAGTGCTCCATAAGGGTTTGACTCTAGCCCAGAGCTACTGTTGTACTTCATTCCTGGTTTGGGCATCAGGACCAAGTGTCCACGCTGAAGGATGTTTTCTGGTAGATGTGTAAGTTAACAAAAGCAAATAACGGGATTTATACCAGTTAAAGCAAGATTTTAAGAGAGAATGAATTTTGTCATCAATATTTGTATAAAGGATTCTGGAGTGAAGCGTGGAGGGGGTTGAAAAGTGATTGGATTTTCTCTCAGCTCAAGGAATGACGTCATCCCTTTGGATATTAATGCACGGGATCATGTGCTGGGTGTTCTGGCAAGGACAGGGACGTGCCCGAGGGTGCTCTTCTGTCAGGGCTTTGTTTGAAGAGCGGTCTGAAAACATCAGTGTATCTTGGGATGAAGTACTAGTAAAACATATCTAATGTTTATAAAATAAACTGCTTTTCTCCAAACATTTTCAATTATCTTATGAATTACCTGGACAAAACAATCAGTTTTCCCTCCCAGCCCTGTTTTCAAGCTGTCCCTGCTAAGGAGGGGGTTGTAAGTCACACATCTGTCTGGCAAGTATTTTCATTTCAGTGTTCTAAAAGTTTTTAATTCAAGATGATGTTGAGCTGTTTTAATGTAGAAATTGGCTTTAAGGTTACAGCAGGAGCAGTCAGAGAAACCCACTTCTTTCTGATGGGGAAAACAACATGCCTTTTGGTAAGGCAGTTTAACAATTAAACATCAGGAGAAAGGCCATAATCTTAATGAATTTTGTTTCTAATAATCCCTGTGCACATGACTTGATGTAATTTAAGACTAACAGAAAAAGCACAAGATAGTACTCTTAACAGTACTTTTTCTTGAGCTATTAACTGTTAGGATGGGTGAAAACATCACTCTATGTAACATTATTTAATCAAAATTATAAATATTAGGGCCTCCTCGTGATCCATGTAAATCAGCATATCTATGGTCCTATATTTTATTATTTTTAAGTTCTGAAGAGAAAGAAATGTATGTCTGCCTCCAGTGATTCTGACAGACTTTTCTTCTGATTTCAGGTGACAAGTTACATCTGTGGAACACAACCAGTAATTTAACAGGTTTAATGAGTGTAGTTGCTATGACTGCTACAACTTGCCAGCTGGCTAAAGATGAAATGTATTTCAACACAAGCAATTGGTAACATTTTGAATTTCAGGAACCTTGCCCTTAAAATAACTTTCTTGTGTGACCGGGGGGAGTGAGGGCAATGCTTTTCCTGTGATCAGGGTTAGAAATGCTGTCTGCAGGTAGTCAGCCTGTGTTTCCTGGAACAACAGTCCTTCTCCAGCAGCTCTGAAGATGCCTGCACTGTGGGATGAGGTAGTAGGTTGTATAGTTTTAGGGTCATACCCACAACTGGGAGATAACTATACAATCTACTGTCTTTCCTAAAGCAGCAGAAAATCAACAATGGAAACTTCTCAATTTTAAGCTCAGTGTCAGATTCTACTGAAATACTGTACTTGTAATGCTTATGATGGGAGAAAATACTTCTGTAATAGCTGGGGGGAGTTGTGTTTAGATTCTTCTGGTTCTTGGAAAAGCTGGGTTAGCATTCTGCATTAATTTTTCTCCTCTAATGAGTAAAAAAGTGAAGAATAGACTGATTTCTATGTAAGTGTGGTGGGGTAATCAAATAGAAATTCCTGATGTTCCAGTTGTTGTGGTGTTTAACGTTGCGAAGTGAAGTATCAGCCATCCCTTAGAGTGGACCTGTGGTTGGCTGGCTGAGCTCTTTGCTGAAGGCTGTGCTTCTCTGTCAGAGTGAGGTAGTAGATTGTATAGTTGTAGGGTAGTTATTTTACCCTGTTCAGGAGATAACTATACAATCTATTGCCTTCCCTGAGGAGTAAAACAAACTGCGACCCTTTGCAGTCAGTGATGCTGTGAAAATACTCGTGGAGTAAAAACAGATAAATTCAGACTTGTAAAGGAGCAGATAAATCAGTGCCAGAATGTGCAGGATTGACAATCCTTGTGAATGGTGCAACCCCCAAATGATATATTTGACTAACATGACTTTTCTTCCAAGGTGAGTGGCACAGTGCTGGCTGGAGATGGAAAATACCCCTGTTCCTACACAGAGAGTGGAACACTCCATAGAGGGGAAATGATTCCAAACCATTTGGGGTTTGAATGTAAAATACAGGCAGCTCAAACTTGTACATTGTGACTTAAACTGTTCTAACACCCCAATTTCTATAATGCATTAAAATTCTGTGTCTCCCAACTGCTTGGTAAAAGTTGGAGGGAAAACTTATTAATAAGTCTACTTGTTTTTCTCCAACTCAATTTAACACAAAATCAAAGTGTTGGCCACTTTTGACCAAAACTGACCTCTCACCTTTTTGGGGGAGTGTAAACCTATGGAGTTTGAGCATCCAAGAGCCAGAACTTTTCTCCAAGGTGGTTGTTGTCTTACAAAAAGACTTTTCAAGCTTACTGCATTCTTTTCCTCCTGCAGTCCTACATGTACCCAGTTTCTGCTGCTGCACTGGTGTGCCCAGTGAGCCCCTTGCTATAGCAACAAAAAAACCATGGAAATGCTCTTTGGGATGGCAAGTTTAGGTTAGTCAGAGTGAAAATGGAGCCATTCATGAGTGGTAAAACCGGTCAACCACTGCTTGGTAAGTGCTGACAGTGTAAACTTGAAATATGTGCCCAGGCCTAAGAGGCAGAAGACCCAAAGCAGCTGGTGAGCTAAAGCACTTCACAGAGCAGCTGCTGAGTGAGAAGAACTGCAAAAAGGAAGCATTGGGCTCCTAGGAAGAGGTAGTAGGTTGCATAGTTTTAGGGCAGGGATTTTGCTCACAAGGAGGTAACTATACAACCTGCTGCCTTTCTTAGGGCTTTATTATAACACCGGGACCAGTTTGGCTCCAGCCTACAAACCTCTGCAGCTCTGGCACGTGGAGACAAAGGACAAGGTGTTTCCAAGCATGTTGAGGCTTAATGAGGCCTGTGTGTTGGCAACTTTGGTCCCAAACTGAAGTGTAGATCTGATAGCTGGAATGCAGCATGGTGGAATACTGCATTTTGGGGACACTGGGCTGGGATATCCTTGGATTGTGGTGAGTAAGAGGCTGTGTTGGGAAGCCAACTCCTTCCAGAGGAAGCTGGAGTCCCCCTGTGATTAGGATGGAGGTGGTATGAAGTTGTGAACATTGAGATGCTGATCCTGTGTGCTCACAAGGGAGCTAAACCACCCCTTCCTTTGGCTCGGTGCATTTCAGGTGGAAAAGCCTCCGGTTTTCCTTACCCAAAAGAACAAGATCCCAGCTCACTTGAAAGCTGGTGCTTTCTCAGCAGGCATAGGCACTCCTAGGAAAACAAGTTCTCAGTGGTGGATTATTTGCAGTCTTGCAGAAGGGAAGTTTTCAGTTAAAAATGATGGTTTGTCTCTCATGGAATTATTAACAATGAGTCCATATTTTTTTGCACTGCAGCAATAGTTCAGGGAACTGTGGGATACAGAGACTTTAACTGCTGAGCACCTTGTAGCAGGAATATGTTGTGCCTCCACCAGCCACTACTTAAACTTTGGCAAATCAGAATCCTAGATGATAAACATGTTACCATGCTTATATTGAACATCCTGTATGAATTTAACTGTACGTTTTTGATTTAGTTAATAAAATACAGCATTTTGTGCAACTGATGGTGAATGGCCTTTACTTTATCCAAAGTAAGGGTGTAAATTTTACAGGAAGACAGTGCCCACATAATTGAAATAAAGTCAAGACCATGTTTGGTTTGTACTGTAGTTATAATTATATAGTGTTAACTGGAATTTGTGTTAATTATTCTAGTGTTACTAAAACTTATTTAGCATTAACTTTTGTTAAAGAGCTTTGGTACAACACGGCACTGGGGGTGGGGAATTCTCATTTACAGCATTGCTGATGAGTGCACAGACTCTGCTTATTCTAGAGCTGGTTTCTGAGTGTAAGTTTAAATTGCTGCACAAAAATCTAGACTTTAGTCTTTACCAGCTGCATTCATGTAAAAAACAAGGTGCAGTTAAGTAAGAAAAACTCCAATAAATTTGATTCTAAAGGTACAAAATGCCTTAAAAGCTTTAATATACCTCACATTTTATAAGGGGTGTGCTTAAAAAGATTTAAATCTGTGCTACCCACCCCAGTTTGGGACCCCAGCTGTGATCCTCCCGTTGTACCAGATGTATTTCTAAAGCCCCTGTCATGAGAGAGAGAAACAGAACTTAGGTCCTGGATGAAAATGAGTAGCTGGTTTATGGCACATTTGGAGTAATATGCAAGTTTTAGGGTTGATTTACCTATTTTTGCCCTATTACTGTGACAGTATTAGCTCTCAGTGCTGCTGGGTTTCTGTAACTATGCTCAGAAAACAAGAACTGGAGGAAGCTTTTAATTTCTTATTTTCTGAATTTACAGTTTTCTCAACATCCTCAGAGCCAGAGCGTTTGTTGTTAAAATCAGAGACCTTGATAGAATCCTAAGTGTGTCTTGGGCCAAAGTACCTGAGTTTGGGGGTTGATGTCTCCACATGCTTTCAGTGTATTGGGATAAGCAGATCCTGCAGAGCTACTGCAGTATCAGTTCATTTTTTAGAACAGTTAATTAGTTCTTCCCTTTACCCAGGGGTGCTGACCCTTGATCCCCATCTTTCTCCTACTCATTCTCTTACCTGTAAATGCATTTATTTCCTCATAGTTTCCTTGTAATTGGAAGCAGCTTGATTTAAGTGATAAAGCTCAAACCAGAAAAGAATTAGGCTGTGGTTGAGCAGCCTTGTCTCATCAGGTTATTTCTCACCCTGACTTACTTGTGGGCTCCACCCAGTAAATGGCATCTGCTCAGCAAGGGACAGGGTGTGTTTGCCTTTTTCCTTGAGGGGTCCAAGGATGAGGTGACAACACAGCAAGGGTCCTTCTAATAAAGAAACTGGTTAAAGAATGCACAGCAAACAGTGCAGGAAGGTTTGCAGCAGCAGTAGAGACATGTTTACCACCCATGGTGCAGTGATTGTGTCATGGTGGTCTTGGAAACATTCCAGTGTTGCTCCAAAAATAGAATACAGCTTCAGTGCAGAGATCCACATCCCAGGAGAATTGTTTGTGTTCTCGGCCTTTCCATGCAGAGAGGTGTGCTCTGAAATCTCCCTGGTGGCGTGAGACCTGAGACCTGTTGGGCTTTTCCCATCCTTGTGCTTCCAGAGAGGACTGTTGGTGCTTGTCCCATGGCCACAGTAGGTGAACTCGGTGCATTAAAAATTCTCCCTTGTGTTGAGAGAAAGGATTGCTGCAGCCAAGAATTGCTGTTATTCTCTGTTTTATAGATTTATTCTCTAGTTTGTGCTGTGTGGAAGGTCGGAGCTCCTGGGGAAGAGCTGCCCCCAGAGGTACATCCAGCAGTTTCACCCTACCTGGAAAGGGTCTTCTCTGCTGGGGTGTCCCAGGTTGGGTGGGGGATTTGCATTCTTAACCGTCTGTTTTGCTTTGTGCTGTGTCCAACTGTGAGAACAGGTGCCCAAAGTCAGCCTTTGGCTGTTGAATGGACCAAGAGGTGTCAGCAACACACACGGAGAATCACCACGTTCTGATTAGATTCCTTGATTTGCAGATCCAGGATGGGGGTCATTTGACATGCCATGGCACAGGCTGGGGGAGAATGGATGGAGGGCACCCTGGGGGGAGCACTTGGGGCTGTGGGTTGATGAGAAGGTGGATGTGCCCTGACCATGTGCAGGGACAGCCCAAAGACCCCCCGTGCCCTGGGCTGATCCCACAGCGTGGGCAACAAGTGATAGGGGGGATCCTGCCCCTCTGCCCCACTCGGGTGAGAGCCCACCTGCATGAGGCTTCCCTGTGTCCAGCTCTGGGATCTCCAGCAGCACAAGGATGTGGAGCTGCTGGAGCGAGTCCAGAGGAGAACACAAAGATGCTCCGAGGGCTGGAGCCCCTCTGCTCTGGAGCCAGGCTGGGAGAGCTGGGGGGGTTCACCTGGAGAAGGGAAGGCTCCAGGGAGAGCTGAGAGCCCCTTGCAGGGCCTAAAGGGGCTCCAGGAGAGCTGGAGAGGGACTTGGGACAAGGGATGGAGGGACAGGACACAGGGAATGGCTTCCCACTGCGAGAGGGCAGGGAGAGATGGGATGTTGGATACTGGCAGCACTGGGTTTGTGGTTGGACTCAATGATTTTAAGGTCTTTTCTAACCTGAATTATTCTATGATTCTGTGACATCTTTATGCCAGAAAGCTCTTGCTGCTCTCTCCTCAGTAATAGGTGCATCCAGGTGGCTCATCCTTTTGCTTTACCAAGCAAATTATAAAATATGATATAGGCAAGGGAAAAAAAAACAATAAAAGAGAGAGAAAGGCAAGTCTCATCCACTGGTCAGAAGAGACCAGTGTGACAAGTTCAGCTGAATATTGGTGCTTTCAGCTGAGGCTCCCAAAAGAACTGGAGGCCCTCAATTCCAGAGGCATCAATGTGTGATGTGGCCTTCAGCCCTCAAGCTGAAGTTGTGTATTTAATGTCATAGTTCTGTAAAGATGAATCCTGACAGGAACTACTGGAGGCATCAGATGTCCGTGTATGTGTTGTTGCAATATGAGAAATCAAATTTGTTCTTCCTGCAGAGATGGTTTTGGTGGAATTGGATTTTTAGAATAGTTCGTTTCAGACACTTAAAACCACTCCAGTGAAGAGGCATTGGAAAATCAGACACAGTTCTATTTCAGCCTGTTTTATTAATGCAATCTGCAAAATAAAGCCATTACAAGCCATATAATGCTACTAAGGACTGTATTTTTGGAGACTGAAAAGGTCCTTTCTGAAATAGGAGAATGTTACTGAAAAAATACTCCTTTGACATTAAAACTCTCCCATATAGATGATTTCAAGCTGATTAGTTAAACCCAGCACAGCATAAAACCAGGGAGAAGGATCAAATCATGCAAGTCCCAGCTCTGTGAGGGAGTTTGCTCCTGCCTGAATACATCACCTTAAACATTACACACCCTTTAATACACTCCAGCAACTATGTGTAAATCAAAAGGAGCAAGCAGTGGAAAATCCATCCCAGTATCCCAAAACGCTGTCACATGTGAAACCTGACCCACACCTGGAAGTGGCTTCTCCTGCAGGAGCTCCCTAAAACGAAGAGGGATAAGGAAGGAAAAGAAAGAGGTGTAGTTTGAACTTCCCAACTCCTACAAAAGTAAATTTGTACATGACTAAGCTGTGAGTGATGTCGCCGGGTCCTGCGACGTAACACTGAAGTGTGTCCTGCCAAAACAAGCAGCCAAAGGCTTTCCTTGGTATTTATTTTAGAAAACAGTAAGGCTGAGGCTGTTTTTAGAGCCTGATGTAACACCATCCTGATGGTTTCCTCATCAGCTGGCAGACGCTGCCCCAATTGCCTTATCAGACGTGCTGTGAGGACAGGGGTGATGCAGAGCTCCAGAAACACTGACACACAGGACACAGCAAATTTTCCTCAGGTTAGAGCAAAAAAGGTAGGTCAAACCTAATCAGAGCAGTGCAAAAAACCTAAGGGTAAATGAAACAGTTGGAGCATTAGGCATGAGAATAGCTAAGGAGTGGAGAGAACTAGAATATATGAGGATCTGAAGGATGAAATTCAGGAAATGTTCTTGTTAGGATGCTGTTAAAAGGTTTCAGCTGTCACCAAAATGTGCAGTGGAATATGTAAAACTATTGTGGAGATAGTTTAAATGGGTGAATTGCTGAGGAGCAGCTCTGGAAAGCTGTCCTTTGACAGGAACAGACATGTTTAAACCTGGTTTCAGCTGAGTCAATGGAAATCCTTCCCCTAATCTCAGGACAGGATTTCACTTTGAACCCAGAATAATTCTCCCACAGGTAGAATCCCACATAGAATCATGAATATCTCAAGCTGGAAGGGACCCCCAAGGATCATCGAGTCTGACTCCTGGCCCTGCACAGACACCCCAGGAATCACACACTCCCTGATTTCCCTCTATCTCCTTCCCTTTGGTTTTTGGAGCAGCACTGGGGTCCTGTAAAATTCAGAGCCCGTTTCTGGATCCAGATGTAGCACAGCTGTACACAAAGCTTTCTACCTTCTCTGCCAATTCATGTCACTGTTGGCTCACAGATGGATATCCCAGGTATTTTAAGATTCCATTTAGAGGCAGCTGTGACAGGAGCCAAATCTAAGCTGCTCTTCAACAATATTTATTAGTTTTAGGGTGACTACTGGGAGTGCAAGTGTTGAGGAACTAATCTCTAAAAGTCAAAGTGCTGATCAGTAAATTGATACTGAACAGGGTGTTTCACTCGGTGGACAACAGTGCTGGGCTGATCCCTGTGTAATCCCTCTCCAGCCCAAACAGAGTTCCCTCCATCAAAATTGGCTACAGAAAATAATCCAATGCTGCTTTTAGATTCGGTCCAAATTCTGTGACTGATGACAACAAAACATTTCCTGTGCATCTCTGCTCTGGAGCCAGGCTGGGAGAGCTGGGGGTGTTCATCCTGGAGAAGGCTCCAGGGAGAGCTGAGAGCCCCTTGCAGGGCCTAAAGGGGCTCCAGGAGAGCTGGAGAGGGACTGGGGACAAGGGATGGAGGGACAGGACACAGGGAATGGCTTCCCACTGCCAGAGGGCAGGGATAGATGGAATATTGGG